ACAGTGTATCCTTGTTATTTTGCGGAACTTTGCCTACCCAAACAAAATGGTGTCAAACGTCACCTCAACAGCACCTCAACTATTCTCAAATGTCTCAGAACCAAGAATAGGCTGTAGAGAACTTTAATCTTAGCAAAATGACAAGCATTATAGGTATCAGAATTGAACGAAACTAAATATTACACTCGACGTATAAACAAACAATATATACGACAGAAGAGAATTTTTAAAGGATCTTCAACAATTCACTTACTATGCCTCCAACATTGTAAACTTAATTAAGACAAAAAATCGAAAAATCTTGAAAGTCACAAAATCTTATTAKATAGCACATATCGATAACTGCTACGGTGATGACGTCACAAATCGAAATTTTCTGATTTTTCAAACTTGGCCTGCATATTCTGAAAGTGCATCATTTCCAATGYATTCTTTCTAAATTTGAGTGTCTTAGTGCCATTTATAGTGGAGATACGAGCGATTTTATGGTCGGGTGACCACATACAAACGCTTGTAGGACAGAGGGGAAAGGTAGATGTACAACCCAAAGTGTTACGACATACGGTGCAAATCTTGTGGAAATGTATACGTAGGTGAAACGTCAAGAAGTGGATAAACGAGGGGGAGAGAACATCTAAAAGGGTTAGACGCCACTGGCAACGTATCTGTATTAGCGAAACATTGCAACGAGAAACACCACGGAGTAATACAAGACTTTGTCATGAATATAGCAGGCGTTCCCTCAAAATCCCATGGAAAGACAGATAACAGAGTCAGTGTAAGAAGGAAAGAAACATCAATGATTATGAACACTAAGAACGAATGGAATCATGTCAGAATTCCTAGGATGAATATAGAACACTCTTGATATTTAACACTTATGATGTAATTATGTTTTTGTAGCTCGTGCGTTACGTATATGTTTAGAGCGTGCGCTATGTTGCATTCATAGTGCGCGCAAATAACGGTTTATTTTAGAATTGATAAGGTAAGACGAAACTAGTTTTCTCCACAGGGAGCCCAAGCAATGAATTTGAACCTATAATAGTTAAAAATATAATAAATAATTAAAAACAATGGTCTATATATATTTAGTATAAACATACTAATGGTCTATCACTCATACTGCGCTGTGATTGGTTACTCTACTAATGGTCTAATTTGTGATAGACCACTCGCGGTAAAATCAAAATRGCGGCATCTCATTAATAAATTATTTTAAGGACATTTCAATTTGTTTTCATTATTTGACCGATTAGTATGTTTATACTAAAACAATTAGACCTCTCGGCCTCGTGGACTACGAGCTAATAGCCCATTCGGCCTCACGGACTCGGCATATGAAACTTATTGCCATACATCGGGTGACATTTGCTTGGATTATTGTCCAGGCTCACTCATGCATCCATGCATGCATGTATATATGCATGTAATTTATTTATTTACTTCATGAAATATAATACAATGGAGTTAATTAATATTTTGTTGTCGATCGACCTCATTAACATCATCATCTGACCATTAAATACTATTAATAGCAAAGTCATGTACATACATGTACATACTATAACATCACAGTTACGTTCACTGACTGATATAAATTTTTCAAATATTGAATTAACACAAAACTGCATAGTTTTGACGACATTTTAAACAAATAATAAGAAAGCAAGTTTGATTTTTGTTGCTTGTGCCTACAGAAGTAGTCTCCTTTGCATCCGTTCATCGTCGGGACAGGAATCC